CAAACCGTCGCTTTTTTTTTTTTTTTTTTTTGATCGTCGATTTTTGAGCATTTGATATCGAAGTCTCATGCATTGCTAATTGAAATTTTTGTTTTATCGGTAAGCAATGACATACGGCTTGTTCTTGTGCTAAAAATCGATGGGCGGCTCTTTCATTCTTTTCACTGGCAGATCGATACTACTACATACTAGTTAGGGACTTGCTCCTAAACAGCCATTAGAAGAGGGATAAGCCATCACTATCCCTGCAAATGGAGCTTTTGGCACATGCTAATGCTAAATGGGTTGTTTATGAGTGCCATCCCCTCTCAAAAACTGATTTTTTGAGTAGATATTTTTTTTATTTTTTATTTTTCTGCTCGCCTTTTGAATTAATTTTTAACCTCCGAGCTTTTTAGGAAATAAATTTTTTTCAAATAGTTAAGCAATAATTCGATTTTGTAATCGCATTTTTTTCGCTTTTTATGACTTTTGGTCTTCTTATGGCAAGTTTTTTTTTTCGTTTGACTCCTAATATTTTTAATCGTTTCAAGTTTGGTTAAAAATGTCAAAATTTTTAAAGGTTTCGTTGGCGGTCTCAATTTCTAATGGCCATCTCTGCTGCTGGTTTCTCATTCCGCGAAAATGGAATTTCGGATGAAACGATCCATACTGAAATCAAAACGCATCTCGAGGGGGCTAATACCGATGGCTGGGAGGTATGTTTGGATTTACATTCCTTCGGAATTATTTTTTGGGGCTTTACAAGATTTTGGTTTTTTTTTGACACAAGATTTCGCCTTTGTATAATGTATAATGAGTTGCTCCCAGAGTAGCAACATTTTTATGCTTTTCTGCATATATGCAAATGCGAAAACGCATATTAGCAAGAGGTTGTGTGTCGGTATATTCGCACTTTTTGTCATTCGCCTTCAACTCGAAAACGAGGAATGCCACAAGGCTGAAACTTTGGGGTTATGTGCCTGCACCATGTTCCACCCTCCCCTTTCAATATCATCACCCGCGCACGCCTGGACGCCGCTTACGGACCTCTTAAAAAAAGTATGCAAATTTTTTGACGGAAAAGCGATTTCGAGAACCAGAAAGAATAGAGAACTGAAGCTTTACAGGAATATTCTGTGTGCGTGTGCGAGCTAAAGATTTCAAATTCAGCCCCTAAGTATGCGTGATACTCACGTACGGGCATGTGAAAGTTTTGACGAGAAATTTACTAACTAGAGAACCAGAAAAGCTGGAAAGCTGGAATTTTGGGGGAATGTCCCCTATCCAACTACAACTTAAATGTTTCAAGTCCAGCCTCCGTGTATGTTCGGTTCTCACGTACGAGCATTTAAAGTTTTGACGGGTAAATTGCTCATTGAACAGATACGCAATTTTCGAGGAAAGACCGCTAAACCGAAGTTGTTCATTTCCTTTACGCAAAATTTACGATAATTGAGCGCAGAAGGTAGGTGTAGAGCAGCAACCATTTATGCAATTAACGACATGAGTACTTCAAATCCGGTGCCAAGACGCATAATCGCACCGGCAAGCCTGGTGCATTCTAGCCTGGGTTATTTCATTCGTCCTCTGACTGGACTGTTAGTTAAATGTGCCAAAACTGTGAGTGAATTTGTTATGATGAGATTGAAAGTGTTAACGTAATTTTTTATGAAACTAGTACTTCCGATGGGCGCAAAAAGTATTTTTTTTTCCTTTTAATTTTAGCTCGTACGGAATGAAGAAAATTCGAAAGTGCTGCGACGGCTGCGTGATGGTAGCGGTTTATACGAATTTCGTTGCTCCGGTTCATATGAGTAAATTTTCAAACATTTTTGAATTGGTATCTGTTTCGATATCCCAGGCGATTTTCCATAATATGTTGACGCGAAAATGTGCAAATACACTACTTTTGCACTAGACAGTTATTTGTTTGAAAGAGCGACAATGCACCTTATAATAGAAGCCCAGGCTGGAATGCATTTTTAAGTTGTATGTGAACGGGGAAAATAACTTTAAAATTTCACCCTTCTAGCTTTTTTGATTCCTGAGTTAGTAATTTTTTCCGCCAAAACTTTCACATGCTCGTGCATGAGTACCACTTGTACTGGGGGAGAAGGGGCGGCTGAATCTGAAATTTTTAAGTTGTATTTGGGCAGAGAATGTACCTTTAAATTTTCAGCTTTCTAGTTTTTTTGGTTCTCGAGTTGAAAGTGGGTGACAAAAAGTGCGAACACACAGACACACACGCAGACAGACACCCCCTTGCCAGTATGCGTTTTTGCATATACATATATGCAGATAAAAAAACCCAAAATCTGTAAAAATAAAATGTTGGAGACATTGATTCACAAACTTAGTGCTTAGAATAATCGGACATTTCATGCTTAGCGACACAGTAGATTAGCAGTGAAATGCATTCTCCATTGGTACATACTCACTACCAACCCGTTTTTCTTCATATATAATAGTTTCAGCAGTTTTTATAGATATTAATTGAACAAAGATGTGCCATTAAAACATTAGCATTGTTAGCTTCTTCACTGTACCGATTTCTACAGTGCCTCATTTTTTCTCATTCTTTTTTTTTTCTGCTTTCATATCTATGCTTATTTCAGTGATATTACTGCTAATGATTTTGTTGATGCACAGATGGATCTTGCATTTCGACAAAAATGGGATACGAACGTTGAGAAGCTTGAATTGTTGCATCGGGATGAAGCAACTGATTCGGAGCTCATTCACTGGGTTTCAAAATTTCCTTATCCGATGTATCCTCGTGAATATGTATTTGTCAGAAGAAGGTATGAAATTGTTCTGAGAACAACAATCGAATGTCTAGCTTTTTTTCCGTCGCAAATCTGATGCTTTTTTGGCGTTTTGTGTTGTGCAACGGCTGCACAAAATGCATTTTGTCGCTGTGTTCTCTGTGCGTGTATATGTGTGCATGTACGCATATGTCTGCGTGTGTATGTGTGCGGATGTGTATGTGCGTGGGTGTGTGTATGTGTGGATGTGCATGTGTGTGGGTGTGTGTATATGTGTGGGTGTGTGTATGTGTGTGGGTGTGTATGTGCATGGAGGTGTATGTGTATGGGTATGCATGTGTGTGGGTGTGTATGTGTGTGGGCATGTGTGTGGGTGCGTATGTGTGGGTGTATATGTGTGTGAGCGCGTATGTGTGTGGGTGTGCATGTGTGTGGGTGTGTACGTGTGCGGGTGTGTATGCGTGTGGTTGTGTATGTATGTGGGTGCGTATCTGTGTGGGTGTATATGTGTATGGGTGTGCATGCATGTGGGTGTGTATGTATGTGGGTGTGTATGTGTGTGGGTGTGTATGTGTGTGGGTTTGTATGTGTGTGGGTGTGTATGTGCGTGTGGGTGTGTATGTGTGTGTGTGGGTGTGTATGTGTGTGTGGGTGTGTATGTGTGTGTGTGGGTGTGTTTGTGTGTGTATGTCTGTGTGGGTGTGTATGTGTACGTGTGAGTATGTATGTGTGTGTGTGTGTGTGTGTGTGTGTGGGTGTGTATATGTGTGTGGTTGTGTACGTGTATGTGTGGGTGTGTATGCGTTGGTGTGTATGTGTGTGGGTGTGTATGTATGCGGGTGTGTACGTGTGTGGGTGTGTGTATGTGTGTGTGTCCGATGCATCTTATGATTATTCTGCACGTTCATTGTTCTTAATTTGAATTAAATCGATTTTTTTTTTTTGAATTCCAGATATATTGACGCGAAGAATCGATGCATTGTGATAGCGAATTGTAGTGTGGCCAATAGTGAAAGCATTATTCCATTGTGCGAAAAGAAGTACGTTCGCGTTGAAACTTATCGTTCCACAATGGTTGTGCGAGCAAATCAAGGCTTTGACCATAAGGGATTCGATTATATCCTCTCATACTACGATAATCCCGAAAGTAATATCCCTAGCTATGCCTATAAT